GTGATGTGGGTGTGTTTGGAGGACTTGGTCAGAAGCCGAGCACAGGCGTTCTGAACCACCTGTAGACGGTTCAGGGAGGTTCTGCTCAGACACGTGAAAAGAGAGTTACAGTAGTCTAAGCGTGAGGGGATGAAGGTGTGGAGAACTGTCTCAAGTTCAGAGCGGGACAGAATGGGACTCAGCTTAGTAATGTTCCTGAGATGGAAGAAGGAAGAGCGAACAAGAGAACTGACATGAGAATCCAGGGTGAGAGCTGGGTCAAAGGTCACACCAAGATTTCTGACAGAAGGTTTGGTGTGAGAAACAAGCTGACCAAGAGAGTCTCTGACTTTGGGAACCAGCTTGTCTGGGGCACAGATGAGTATTTGAAAACACATATTTTCAAAAAAGGCTTTTAAGGCTTTTCTCCCACAGCAATAGATGGTGGGTAATACCCTGATCAACTTACGCACTTGAGAATCGGGACACCCAACACACTTGCACCCCTGGCAGGGTTCGCGCAATTGAAGGACGCAAGTGTGGAAGTGCGAGTATTGGTGACAAAAAATGTATCGTTATCAAAATTTCTGACTCTTAAAGAATTTTTCCTATGTCAATAAATTTTATTATAAAAAATGAAAAGATGTGTGTAGGTTGGCTACATTCATGTTCCTTTAAGAAGCTGTGCCACCTCAGTCACATAAATATGTGACTCAAAGTGGTTCATGTGACAACCCCATCTAGTGGACAACCTTTGTTTCTGCGCATAAATGTAGTCATCGTCCATTTATCGTTATCGAGGAGAAATCCTCAATACATTGTGATATTGATATCGATTTTAGGCCATATCGCCCAGCCCTAGCGGACAACATCACATGCTGCTTGGATAAAAGCCAAAACTTAGCGTTAACACACCAACAAGTGAGGAGGTTAAAGCCTCAGCAACTGACAGCTCCATGAGTATTCTCCAACATACGCAAGACACTTTAAATGACGGTGTTTTTTTTCTTCCTGTCTACCTCTGACAGAGCTCACTTTATTGTCAACTCGTGCATAATCCATTCTCTGCAAGGCCTTATCCAAAAAACCAGACCTCAATAAATTTGGCTGTTTTATACAGATAGACTGGAAACTTGTAGTCTCCAAGTTGCTTTTAGTTCACAGGAGACTAAAAGTGCTCTGACAAAGTGGCACCAATCACAGATAAGAAAAAAATCATTTTCACAGAATAAACCTGAGTAAAGCTGAAGAAACGAAGGCAGCATCAGCTGAAGATGTGTTGCTCTCTAAAGCAGCAGCTGACTAACTTGGAATTATAAGCAGAAGAAGTTTCTTTTTTTCTCTGCTCCCTTTAGGTGTTAAAGGACCAGTGTGTTGTATCAGAAAGCCAGATGGGCTTGTGTTCAGTGACTAAACTCTGGGAGCACACACACACACACACACACACACACACACACACACACACACACACACACACACACACAGACACACACACACACACACACACACACACACACACACACACACACACACACTCCTCCAGGACTCTCAAGCTGATCAGCATTCTACGTCTTCCTTTGCTGTTCTCCAGTCATCGCTCCGTCCTTTCTCCTCTCTGCTGATAGTTCTACAGGGAGGACAGGAATCTTTGCTTCTAATCCATTTATTTCTACGCAGGAATAAAAGCGGGAGGCTAAGCCAGCAGCAGACACACAGATGGAAAGTGATGCCGAGTGGGGGCAAGAACTGGAGAAACCTGGAGACTGAACCACCTCTAGACACAGCAGAGGTTACAGTTTCACTTTTATCCCCCCACAGACTAAGGTAACCTTTTCATGACCGCTTTCAGAGCTTAAACCTCCTAATCCTGTTAAACGTGCGCTGCAAAATAAATAAATACATACAAGCTCCACAAACTCACATATTCTTTCACTTTACTGCATGATATGAAAACAGGGATGGATTGAATCCATTTTCACTGTATTAAGGACATAATATGTTTACCTTGATGTTTTTCCTGAGCATAAAGCCAATTAGAACATCTGCACTCAATTTACCACGCCTTGCACAATTCATTTATAACTTTGTCAACAGCACAAAGGCGAGTGTTCGCATATGCGTTTGGGTTTTCACATCTTAATTTGCTTTGGGTTAAAAACAGCTGAACTGCAAATATTTTAATTAATAATGTCCGAGTGTTGCAAACATGAGGAATGTCGTCAGTAAGTGAAAAGTATGGATGACGGTAAAATGATTAAAAATGAAAGTTTGTGTTTTTTAACAGCTGTTGTTACTGATCAGACATTTTCCAGACTAGAATTTCCTTTGAACATGTCCTGTGTTTTTGGCAGTAATTTAATGTAACAAAGTACAAGTACTTTGTTACTTTACTTAAGTACAATTTTTCTGTATCTGTACATAAAGTGGCAGTGTGTATTTTGCCTAATGATAGGAGGCAGTACTTACCTAAATCATTGCATGCAAGCAGTATTTTTCTGTTCGGGTAAGACCTTACCAACGGATGGCCATTGGGGTCAAAACTCCCTTAGAGTGCCATTTATGAAGATATCGTTCAACCTCCAGCAAAATGACCAGCGCATCAGACTTCCTTTCATCACTGGCAATGAGCAAAGAGGTAAATGTGTAAAATGTTTATGAATGGTGAACGTTTTGTTAAAAATCAGTAAATGTGTTTTGTCCTCACAGGCTCATGTAGAAGGAAACATGGTGTCTAATATGGCATTGCCCAGAGACTTAGACCCGCTCCCAGGTATTATAGAAATATTATAGAACTGATTCTTATGGTTTCATGTTAGAAAGCTGCCAATAGTTTTCAACTCCTGGGCATCATTTAATTCATTTTCAACAACATTTTGATGGACGTTTCCAGAGATTAATGGCAAAAATGACATTAACTCTTTAAAGCAGCAGTAGCTCAGGAGGTAGAGCGGGTTGCCCAGCAATGGGAAGGTTGCAGGTTTGATCCCTGCTGCAGACAGGGAATTCTGCTGAAGTAGGGCTGGGCAATAAATCGAAAATGTATTATTATCGAAATTTCTGACTCTTATCGGGATAATTTTTCCAATCTCAATAAATTTGATTAAAAGATTAAAGATGTGTGTAGGTTGGCAACATTCATGTCTCTTTAAGTAGCTGTACCACCTTGAGTCACATAAAAATACATGCAACAGCCCCATCTAGTGGACAACTTTTGTTTCTGCGCATACCTATAATCATCGTCCATTTATCGTTATCGAGGTGAAATCCTCAATATATCGTGATATTGATTTTAGGCCATATCCCCCAGCCCTATGCTAAAGTGTTGTTGGACAAGACACTTAACCCATTTTGCCTGCTGGTGGCGGTCAGAGGGACTGGTGGCTTAGTAGCCTCGCCTCTGTCAGTGTACGACGGGGCAGCTGTGGCTACATTGAAGCTCATCACCATCAGTGTGTGAATGTGTGTGTGTGTGAATGGATGGATGAATGATACACTGTAGTGTAAAGCGCTTTGGAGTCCTCTGACTCTGAAAGGCCCTATACAAGTGCGGGTCATCATTCAAGTACAAATACAGATTCTTGGGTACTTAAGTAGGTTTCTTGAGGTACTCCTCCCCCATGTCTGACAGCACACCTCTATGGGCAACACATATTTAAATGTTAGTTGAATATGTTTACTTTTTAACTTATAAGTACATCTGAAAATGCATGATTTAATACTTTTCCTCAAATCTAATATTTCTTGTATACTTCCACTTCGAGTCAAGTAACTTTTTTAGCCCTATACCTGTACTTTTACTTAAAGCTGCAATAGCAAATATGCTGAATACGCTAGCTTTTAAACAGAAACACGGAACACTTGCCCGATACCAGAGCCTGCCTTGCCAGAGGAAGTGAGAGAGCGCCAACGACTTTCGTTGTCCGTGACTTCAAATGGTGTTTTTTCTTTTTGGGACTCTGGTAGTTTGTTCTAAAGTTGAAGTGGTAGCAGCCGGCTGTTTCTCCTTCTCTAATGTTAATGTGCACAGAACTTCTCACACCAGTGGTGTTCTATTGCTAAACATGTAAGTATGTTATTGAGGACATAGGGAAGTGAAGAAGTGTGGCGATTTGGCGAGACAGACAACCAGATGGTCCAATCACTGCTTTCGGTTCGAGCAGTGCAATTGGTGGAGGATTTTAGACAAAATACAAAAGAACCACTTTAATAAATTGTTTCATTTTTTTTTGTTTCATCTCCACAATATATTTAGAGCTCTACTATGTTAGAATGTTATTAAAGAGGCATAAAAATGTTTTTAGCTTGTTTGCAGATTTGTTATTATACTTGAAATAAAAATAAACAAATAAATAAATCAAGTCCTTCCTTCACCACTGGTTTTTGGAGATAAACTATATTTATAGCAGAATATTAAATTATGATAAAGATAGATTCTCCATAGAAATTGTCATTGATTTGCTTTGTAAACTAGCAGAATATTCATGAAAAACTGTAAAAAGTGACTTCTGCAGCATTTAGCGTGCTAAAGCAGGCGGCGTACGGGGGATTCTCTGGCATCAAACCACCTGTATGCAGCTCAGACTTTGACCAGGTTTATTAGAAGCAGAAAGAAAAAAACGGTATAATTGTCTTTTCTTGCCTTTCTGAACTCGTCACATTGAAGTAAAGATTCTATAGATTTTTCATTCAGTACTTTCCCGTATAATTCATCAGTATATCATTATTCTGGCCAACTAGCATGATTAATTAGATGTAGGACAACACAGGCCTGATTTATAAGCTGATGTAATTATTTAGACATAACTATGATTCGGTAATGGTTTAGAGAAACAGCTGCATAATAAAAAGGTCAGGAGGCCTTCGTTATCTAAATGTTTCATAACCATCACACCAAAATGAGTTCTGATCCTTTTCTCTCTGCAACACAGACGATAGGTCCTGAAACATTAAGATGATCTCCTGCTTTTTGCTCGCGTATTTAAACCCGAGCTTCATCCGCCTTATAATAAATATTTACACACCTGCTTGTCCTTGTCTTTCGTTTTCCCACCACCCGACACGCGTGACAAGGTGACATCACGGGGGATGACAGAGATTTGGTGCAGTGGCATGTTCATCCCAGCAGAGCCAACCAGGGGTCACTCACACACACACTTCCTGTATCGCACCCAGAGCAAAGATCATGATGGTTTCAACTCCAACACCAGGTCCGCTCCACCCTGCAGGGGCCACACACACACATTAAATTAGTCAACATTTGACATCAGAAGAAGAAACAACTGAAAACCTTAATTGATGGTTGAAAAATTGTGAAATGTGAAGTCGGATCCTGGGTTTTTGCCACATAGGAGGAAAACCCTGAGATTGGACTGAGCATCGTAAATGTTTACAGAGCTAATCCAAGGAGAGGAATGCGATAAACCATGGTGGAAGTGTGTGGAGTGAATCAGAAGTGTGTGTGTGTTTGTTTTCAGGCGATCATGAAAGCAGGAGCAGCATCATGGAGCTGTCCTTGTGAGTTACACAAGAGGGTTCACAAATCGGTCGTTTTGACTTCAGTTAATGCAGCCATCTGTACTTCCACCGACAGCAATTAAGCTTTAGCTCCTTCTCACCAACACCAGTGTGTGTGTGTGTGTGTGTGTGTGTGTGTGTGTGTGTGTGTGTGTGTGTGTGTGTGTGTGTGTGTGTGCGTGTGTGCGTGTGTGCGTGTGTGCGCGTGTGTGTGTGTGCGTGTGTGCGCGTGTGTGCGCGTGTGCGCGTGTACGCGCGCACGTGTGTGTGTGTGTGTGTGTGTGTGTGTGTGTGCGTGTGTGTGTGTGTGTGTGTGTGTGTGTGTGTGTGTGTGTGTGTGTGTGTGTAAAGGCCGGTCTGCCAAGCGCCACCTTAGGCTCCAGTGTATGAAAATGACAGGATTAAAATCAAGCTAAAAAGCAAGTGGACAGATGGGAGTTTGGTGAAATGGCAGAAATCAGAAAGCGGCGGTGACAGCAACAGGAGGTGGTTGGTGGCGGCCGTGTGTCCGCGTGGGCTTTTGGACCGAGAAGCACCACGCAGGGTTTCAGCGAGGACCAAGACCGACACAGTTAGAGCTGTCACTTCAGTTCAGCACCACGCTGCTTCTGAAGTCTTCATCGAGAAGATGTGCTCAAACTAACGCAGGGAGGGCAGCGCTGCTGGCTTCTGGAGCAACAGCTGGCAGTCAGAGCTCAGCAATAAACTGATGTTAATTAAGAAGCACCTCAGTGATGATGTTTAACCGCTAAAAAACTAACAAAAAAGCAGTAACACGATCAAATGCTCAGCAAATATCATCACCTTCACACAAGAAATGAAACCAGAACTGCCATAAAATGCTCACTTTACTTTAGATTTCTGTGTCATACGTATTATAATGTAAACTATTATTTATTGTTCATGCTAGAGGAAGAACATAAACCTGTATTTACAAAAATCCACACTGGGTATAGTTAACTGGCTGTGATAGAATGGAAATAAGTACAAGTACTCGTTACTGTACCTAAAGCTGCAATGGCAAGTTTGGAAAACAAACTAGCGATAAATATATTGTGGAGATTAAAAACAAATTTAATAATGTGGATTTCTCACATTTGTACCTTTTCCAACATGGTTACTGGCTTAATATTTAAAAATAACATACTTTATTGGGTAAATCTAATAAAAATGATTGGAAATTATATTAAAATACGATAATTATGGTAAAAAATCTTGAACAATTTTATTATACTTATTGTCTTAGGACAAAAAATATAAATTTTTCTAAAGAGCTTATAGTATATTGAGTACAACTGCACAATAAAATCCAGAGTGAAAAAAACTTATTTGATCACTTTGCACAACATTTAATACGTTACTACTGAAGCTATCTAGAGACTTGGATGGTGGAGTTCCCCAGATGGTGCTGCAAGGATTTTTCATCTCTTTTTTTGTGTTATGATGTGAGCAGATTTTTATGAAGCAGAAACTATGAATAAAAATCAAGCAGATTTGTGTTTTTAACACAGTAACATCATTTATTTCTGTTCAATCAGCCACTAGGTGCTGGCTAAAGTCAGATTAAACACGATTAAAGACACAGAATGTGTGTTAAAGCCTGAGGGAGCGTCGGTAAACCTCCTGCTGCACTCCACTCACTAATGTTCACACTAATTAGAAAATAAATATTACTGTGTCATTTCCTGAGCTGTAATGTGAGAGGTGATGATTGGATCCGTTAACGTTATGTCTGCAGAGCTATGTACCCTTTTCCACTGTTAATTGGAATTATAGTTTGAGTTTTTAGAAGTGGAGAGTCAGTTTAACAGAAATGTGTTTTTCTCACATAAACATTTAGTTTGGCAACACAGAGTATGTTTATAGGATTAATAAAGCTAAACTCATTCTGTCAATCAAGCTGGCAGAAACTCCCTTGGATGTAAGATCAAGACGAATTTTCAGGTGTGTGTGTGTGTGTGTGTGTGTGTGTGTGTGTGTGTGTGTGTGTGTGTGTGTGTGTGTGTGTGTCCTCCATGCTGGCTGTCAGTCAAAGAGTTCACTCCAACACAATCTGTTAAAAATTCAGCATCTCCTCCAGCTGTCTCCGACCTGCGGTTCTAATTTGATACGGACCTGTTGCCACGGTGGTATTTAACAGAAGTGATAGCTCTGACGTAAAAAATAAGAGTTGTGTTTCTGACTGGTAACATCAAAGACGGCGGTTTATGATTGACCACCAGCTTTTTAAATAATCTAAGAGAAGCCTCTGCCAGAATAAAACATTTCACGTATGTTTCTATGTAAGTGTTATAAACAGCCACTACCGTACCTGACAGGTGAGCTACCAGCTCGTCAGAGCAGTCAGGACCAAAAAGGTTGCTGGGATTTCTTTCATTAAACATGCAATTCAAATCTGGCAGCAGTGTGAAGGTTTATAAAACAACATTTGAATGAATCAGTAAGAAACTTTGGACACTGGAACGGTTTTTAAGTCATGGTTCCACTGATATCAGCCGTTAGCTCCATACTGTAGGTCTGTTTCCCCAAACAGGGTGACATTGGCAAAGGAGTTGAGCCCCCACCCCATAACCAGAGGGTTGTAGGTTTGAGCCCCATCTATTGCAGTTGTTGTGTCCTTGAGCAAGATACTTAACTCATCATGCCTGCTGGTAGTGGTCGGAGGGATCGGTGACGACAGTGCTCAGTAGCCTAACTTCTGTTAGCTCATCACCACCAGCATGGGAGTGTGTGTGTGTGTGTGTGTGTGTGTGTGTGTGTGTGTGTGTGTGTGTGTGTGTGTGTGTGTGTGTGTGTGTGTGAGTAAATAACTGTGTTGTAAGACACAATGGGGTGTTGTATGACCCCAGAAGGTGTTATATCAAATACAGGCCATTTACCATTATTCTTAACAGCTTAGCAGCTTTGAAGTTCAGATTTGTGGCAACAGCTGTTTACTGTGTCTGTAGCTAATAAAAAGGCTAGCTGTTAGCTTTTTCAGTTTACCATCCACCAATAAAAAGCACAAAAGTGTGTAAGTAAATGTTACAGAGTAATGTCTTTGAAGGTGAAGCAAAGAACTAAAACCAGAGTGAACGTTGGCGGCTGCCTACACTAGTTAAAGGATCACAGACTGATGATGACCTGGCTTTGTTGCTACTGGGCTTGGAAGTAATACTATTTATTGTCCAAAAGTGTGAAACTTTTTAATTGACTAATTTAGTTTCAGTTGGCTTGTGTTAGCATTGGTTCGTTGTTAGCGCTAGCTACAACAGGCTGCAGCTGGGTTGTTTTAACCAGTAGGAGGGAAAAGAAGTGTTGCATTAAACCAAGAGTCATAGGTTATCGTGTTCGTGGAGTAACAGTAAAGAGGCAGATTCTGTTGTCCTATTATTGACTTTGATAAGAATCAAGCCTACCTTTAAGCTTTGACTGCATGTGATAAATTAAAATTAGCATTCAGAGAGGAATTTCCCAAAATGCCTCCATAATTTCTCCATTTTCTCACCTTTTTTAAACTCTCCTCAATTTGGTTTTTGGGAAAATGAAGGAAAAGTGGATAAATTCCAGTAATAAAATTTGCACAAGAGCTTCACGTGATTCATCCACATATGAAACTTGTTTTAGGACATCTCTAAATGACAATTTACATATAATCTCACAATTACATTTATTGGCCAGCAGTTGCAGCCCTGTCAGATTGTGGCTTCACTACTTAAAGAAAACATAATAATAAAGGATAACAGTTATGATCCAGCAAAAGCTTGAATGGATACCCATATTTTGCAAATTTAAGCTTCTGTTAGGTTCCATGGAGGCAAAGCTATCATAATATAAGCTCACTATGTCTTCCTCTTTCTGCTCCTGTGTGCCAGGTAAATCACAGCCATGTTTGGCCTACGTTCTGCTCAGATGAACTCGACTCTTATTCTTTACCTCCGAGTCGGTGCTGTCAGATTAGATCCGAGACAAGGTTGGGAGTCCGTCCTCTGCTTCTGATGTACAACCAGGCAGAAAAGCTCTACTGTGTATCAATCAGTCCTAACATTAAAGCTGTCCTACAGCTGTGGTCTATATTTCATGGTAGGTCTTCCCAGAATATCAGCGGGTTTGAAAAGACAAAAACAAATCTGACTTAAGCAGCATTTTTGTTTTATTGGAAATTTAAAAACTTTACCAATTCTGTACCTTTTTATTACATTTACAGTCTTCCACAACTGGTTCAGCTGATTTCCCTAATTTCTTATTAAGACGTTTGACACAGATTTGCCTGCAAAGAAAGGCAGTCATTGTTCATTTGCCAGATCCAGCATTATGCTTGAAACTGTAATTTCTTACTCTGATGGCTGTCCCATCTTGACAAGCATCTCTTGGAATCCTTTTACAAAAAGCTGTGGTTCTTATTTAAAAAGGAGCAAAACAAAAGACAAGCTTCAAAGGATGAGTCACGGGAGAGATGGCATGATGCAGCTCTTCTGGCCGTTACTGTTGTTGAGACTTCATGCCCAGAAATTAGATAATGCCTGTTGTCCACACAAGATCAGATAATCTTTTACAAGAAATGTATTCATTTTTGCGCTAAAAGGCCTAATGTGGAGGCTGAATTATGGGATTGTTGACTGGGAAAATCATGACAGCTAAAGCCCTCAATTTTCTCCACATTTGGTAGATTTTCTTTTTACCAACCAGCAGGGAGTAAATAGTGATGCAAATCAAAGAGCAGCAT